TCAAACAAGTCAAACAAAAATGCATTTTGTGGCGGTTTGAAATCGCCACAAAAAGATTGAATTTTTTGATACTCAAAACCAGCGTTTACAAGATATCCGCTGGAAACGGTTTTTGGCGACCGTAGATCCGGCGGTTAGGAATGACGCCGGTAATGCAATTTGTGGCGGTTTTTAACCGCCAGAAAGTACTAAAATAACCGCCACAAATCACACATTTTTTTTGTAGTGTTGGTTTCTTGTGTCTGTTTGAAACTCAGGTTAATAAGGCTCGTACTCCTCATATTATTCGTCGTATCCAAATGGATAAACATCATGTTGTTCCTTCTCAAGGTCAAGCAAGAGGTATTTGGTGTATGTGGAACGCAAGGCATTGGTAGGTATAGATCTTGGATAAAACACCTTATTTTGTTCATATAATGATTGACACCAATAGATGGTACATGACTATTGTTTATGCTAGTCCTTACTCACAATTTAAAGTGGGTCTATGGATGAATTTGAAAAAAATTGTGACCTAGATGACCGATACTTGGAGTCTTTTACATCAAATTTTAACAATTCAATTGTTGAATTAAAAGTTTTTAATGGATAGATCAAGTCTGGAAAGTTTTAAAAAAAATTAAAAATTATTTATTATTCTACTTTATTAATTTAAATTGATAAATAATCATGAAAATATCTCATATGTGGATTTAATAAAGTAGATAGTAAATAATTTTTTAAATTTTACAAATTTGATCTATGTATTAAGAATTTTTAATTTAACAATTAAAGAATTGAAATTTAATGTAATATTGAATAGAATAAATAGATATCTCATCATATATATATATATATATATATATATATAATTGGTTATTGAAAAATTATAATCGATTTTACTAAATAAAAACAAATTATAATATAAAATTGATTATGGATTGAATAAAATAACTATAATTATAAATGATTATTAAATAATAATGATTAGTATATGAACAACCGTAACCACCCCAACCTTTGACATGGTATCAAAAGCGACGAACATCAAATTCAAAGATCCTTCAGGATCCGCGTTCACAGAGTAATCCTCTCACTCCCGTTTTTGTAAAAAGAAGGCATTTTCATACATGATACATCATACATCTATATCTGAAAACTCTCTTAGATTAAGACACCGAGTTAGGATCCCAAAAATATGTAAGAATTTTTAATAAACATTTATTTAAGCTATTTATCAAAAACACTTGAAATACAAAACTATATTACTATAATAGTTATTATTTTTTCGATTAATAATCATAAATTCTGTATTTTATCTTTCTAAAAATACGCTCTTACCTTGGTGGAAACGTTGATTAAGACAACACAATAATAGTAATTACTTATTAAGTTATTATTAGTTACCCGACACTTACATTTCATTAATATCCGGTCAAAATCAGGTTGAATTTGTGTGCATAACACCACCGACTTGTGCGTAACTCAACTTCAGGTCACTTTTCTCTCTTGAAAATATGTTTCTAAATGCTCTACTCTACACATAGGCTAATATTAATGAGATTTTACCCAAAGTTGATGGTATAAATAATTTTGTATTTCTCTTCTGTAATTAAATATGGAAACTTGATTTCTGTCTTAGTCTTAGATAATGGAAAACATCATTTTATCTCTGAATTTCAATGTTAGACAAAAGAATTAATAATTGATATAATAAAATATGTACTTTTATTAAATCATTTATTAATTTTTATCAATAACTAAAATTACCCATCAAATAGTTATACTGATATTTTTTTTTGAAGCATGATTCTACCGGCACTGCAATTAACCTAGATAAATTGAAAGCAGGCCAAAATTTATTAGGTGGGTTCTTTGAAGTTTGAACCGATGATTTTGTATTTAAAAAGAAAAAAAAATGAGAAAAGGACAAGTATAATTGTCAACTAAGTAACTAACAACTGAAGTTGAATTTGTATGCGATTTTTTTTTATAGAAATACCAGTCAACAAAATCAGGCGCAGTGTTTCATTTTCTTTTCCTTTTTATGTACAGGCGTAATGATTTACTGATTATAAAGCATCATGAAAGGAAGAGGAAAAAAAAAAGTAAAGAAAAAAAGGAAAAGAAAAGAAAAATTACATTCAAGCAAAGTTATTATTTATGAAATATCTGATAATTAATTTAAAATATCAGACATTAAAAATAGATACGTTATCGGGACGTTGATACCTAATAAAAAAAATTGGTTGAATATATTTTTAAGTCGTGTAAAATTAACGATTTTGAATTTTAGTTTTTTGTTTTTTATTTTCTAATTTAAAGAATCATTGCTTTTTTTCTGTACCGGAAGGGTCATATTGGCCACGTGGATCGACATGTCACATCATATCAGCTACCGAGACGGCCATCGAATAGGCAATGGCCGTAATAACAAACTTACAAGGCCATCAATGGCTTGGCTAAGGCAGTGTTATTAGTTAACCCTCTCACCAACCTCCTGGCCCGGCAAAAGGCTAAGAACAAAGGGCAACCCCAGTCCTTTACCTCTCGGCTCGACCAACGACTAATAGGGCCAGATAGTGATTAAGATGGTGATCATGATTAACAAGGACAAACGCGCGATTAAGGCATAATCAGCCGATTATCACTATATTACCTAATTTGGCAAATGTCAGAAGAGGTCCACCACGTTCAAGGCCCATGACGAGTAGTATAAATAGGTCACATAAAACGAGGTATGCACTGTTCATTTATTACCCTCGAGAATTGTGCTTGTCCTGACTTGAGCGTCGGAGTGCCTTTTGCAAGTACCTCCCCCTGAAGCATCCGCTCGGAGCTTTCGTTCGACCCTCCAGTTACTAGAAGATTACGAGTGTGCCCTTAGACAGGTACATTTTGGCACCCACCGTGGGACCGAATCGAAAGCTTTGAGAAGACAGACTGAGCTTTAGCATTATGGCA